CTTTTTCCTTTTTTCCCTTTACCTACCTCTTTAGTATGTATTATTTTTAATTTCTAATTAATTAAATTTTTTTTTTAATGTATTAATTATTTTTATTTCTAATGTCTTTTATCTTTTGATTTCTTATTATTTTTTACTGTTTGGGATGGGATGGGATGGGATGGGATGGGATGTTATGGCATGGCATGGCATGGGATGGAATGGCATGGCATGGGATGGCATGGCATGGGATGGGATGCGGTGCGATGGCATGGCATATGGCATGGGATGCGATGAGATATGGGATGGGAGGGGATCAGATCGGAGGGGATCAGATCGGATGGCATGGAATGGGATGGATGCATGGATGCATGGATAGATAGATAGTTAGATTTTTTGGGGTATTTTCCTTTCAACCAAGCGGTCTCCAACTGAGTAACGCCACTGATTTCCCCGGGCAACGCCGGGTATCCCGCTAGTCTATCTATACTATAATGAGGCTAATCTTGTGTGTGTGTTTGTTTGATCTCGATGTTCTCCGTGATTTTTCACTCAATCGCGCTAACTGAAGATATATTGACAATTACCACGTCTTGCAGATGGTTTTGGCTGAGACAAAAATGTAAAAAAGTTAAAAAGTTGGGAATTATTTCGCGTCTTGCACGCCGCCGTAGCGTAGTCGGTAGGAGCTCGGTTTCATAACGCGAGATTCCGGGTTCGAATCTCAGCTGGGGAAAAAAAATTTCTCCTTTACTTTTTTACTCTTTAGTATCTACTTCTGCCACTTCAGCGTTAATTTCAAAATGTAAAAAATAAATTTTACTACATTCATTAAACAAATTTAAAAAAGTTAAAAAAAATTACTATTTTTTTTACTATTATTATTTATTATTATTTTCATGTTCTTTATATTATTTATATTATTTTTTATTGTTTGGGATTGGATGGGATGGGATGGGGTCGACTGCGATGGGATCGGATCGGATCCCATGAGATGGCATAGGATGGGATGGGATGGGATGGGATAGAAGACGATGGGATGGGATGGGATGGGATGGGATGGGATGGCATGGGATGGCATGGGGTGGAATGGGATAGGATGAGATGGGATGGCATGACATGGCATGGCATGGCATGGCATGACATGACATGCGATGGATGGATGGATGGATGGAGGGATGGCTGGCTGGATGGATGGATGGATGCATTGATACATAGATAGATAGATAGATAGATTTTGCGGTATTTTCCTTTCAACCAAGTCGTCACCAAACTGAGCACTTTTTCCCCTGCTCACTTATAGAATTGCGCTCTTTGTTTCTTCCCAAAATGTTTTTTTGTTTCTGTTTTCTTTTCAGTTGCATGAAATATTTAACTTCAACTGTGTCACTTACTTGAAGTTTATATTTTAATTTAAGGCACGATTTGGTCGTTGTACGGGTGGGTATTAGTCTGCTAGTATCTATAAAGTTGTTTAGCCGAATTAGTTTGTACTCGCATAACTAGAGAACTCC